CGGATGGGTGGCATAGGGAATAAAGCTATTACAGAATCGGGGAGTCCTGCTAGAAATATTTTGAAACCTTCTCCCAGAGGAGGATACTATTTCTTGAAATTTAGGACTGAATTGGCACTCCGGCCATGATAACCTGTTAACTAAAAATCCATACCTTAACTGAAATGTTTTTATAGAGGGATGGAGATTAGACAAAAGTATATGCAATCTTAAACAAGATATACCTGACATACTTTGCCATCTTAAGCTCATTCTCGATGTGGGAATTGGTTAAAAAAAAATTGCAGAAGTAGAAAAAGTTGAAGAGACATTAAAAATATATCCACAAGTCTATTTCTGGAAAGGCACTTCACCATATGCTCCTGCACATGCTGCCTTCATAAAATGTAACTCCAATGAGTTATAAAACTCTGCTTATGGAGGGAGGGGGGAATGAGTGGAGCCATTACAAAACATTTACTACTTAAGCATGATTTTTTTTAAGTGGCCAGGTTATGCAGTAAAAACTCAGTCAAAAAAAAGGAAATTTGTCCCTTGGATGATTAATTTCATCTGGTAGTTCAGTAAACTGGACACAGCAAGTGGGAGCAGTTTTTATTTAACTTCTCAGAGGCAGATATAGATGTACCGTAGATGTGGACATATAAAAAGAAACACTATAAAAAGTGCCATGGGCAGTTACGGCAAGTTTTTATCTGAATGTGTTAGCATTTGCTAAAATGGTAACAGCACAGTGCTATTATTGTGCCTATTACTATTTTTCATTCTCTTGCATATGTTGCATTTAATTGTGTGCACTTTTCAATGGGGGAGGTCCGGCTGCTAAACTGGTAGGGCAGACCAATTATATTTTGCTTAAGAGCTGTCCTGTCTCAGGGCCTACTTCCTCAGGTATGTGTGCAATGTACTCTCTTCCTACTCCCTAACAGAATCTGCAGAACTCAGAAGAGGAGGGTGCATTGGGGATGTGGAGGGAGACAGAAATAGTTTCCTGGCTGAGACTCCTCTTCCTGACTACCCCTTTCTAGCTTCTGCTTGTAGACAGTACAGGGAAGAAAGTTGTTTACTGCTTATTTAGAACAAAATTGATAGTGTTCACCCACCTTTTGCATATACAAATAGTCCTCATTTAGCGATTGATTCCTTTACAAAAGTGATAAAAATAAATTTACTACCAAACCTTTACATTTATGACCTTCACAGGTCTCTAAAGCAGTGCCCCCCAACCTTTTGGGCACCAGGGACCGGTTCCATGGAGAAAGGATTTTCCATGGACTGAAGGGTGTGTGGTTTTGCATGCTGCCTGCATCCCCCGGATGGGGCTTCGCTTGTTTGTGTGGACCCGTTGCTGGAATGCCATGGACTGGTGTAGGTTCACAGACCGGGGGTTGGTGACCCCTGCTCTAAAGCAAAAGAAAGATGAAGCAAGATTTCACTTAGCAATCACTTTGCTCACCAAAGGAGATTCTGGTCATGGTTGGTAAACAAGGATTACCCATATGTGTTTGAATAAAAATAAGACCTTGAGCAAGTCACTCACTCTCAGCTCAATCCACCTCACAATTTGTTGCTGTGGAGAATATAGGAAGAGGAAAGAATATTATGTATGTTTGCTGTCTTGAGTTATTTACAAAAATGAATGAATGAATGAATGAATGAATGAATGAATGAATGAATGAATGAATGAATGAATGAATGAATGGTTAGTTAGTTTCTATATGTAGTTTTACTTCATTTGGCTTCAGTGGTTTGATGTGAATATCACTTTCCAAACTGCAAAGCTAATGACTTAATTACCTTCTTAGGAATAGCTAAGTTTAAATTCCATGTTATAAAGCAGTATTGTAAAATTGGAAGTGGTTGGATAATATTTTCACCCCCAGGACCTATTACATGAAGGACTCATTTATTATGTTACCACTTCTTAAGGAACAGGGATTGTTGATGATAGGAAGACAAGGTGTTTTCCACTGGTAATACATTTGGTTCTTTTCTTTGTTTTTAAATAAAAATTGACCTACATAATCCCTGAGTGGAAAATGGAAAGGCAATCGTAGGATAAATGAAAGCATTCTAAGGGATTCTATTTCTCTGACCTTTCTGCTTTATTTTTCGGGAGCAACAGCTCCGAAGCCGTTTTTAAAGCTTTATACATGTCTGCATTTTACCGCCAATAACAAATGTTAATTTTGCCTGCTGCAGTGTGGCGCCGCGCCTCTGCCAAGGCAGCAAAAGGTTTGCGGGCGCAGGGTTAGCCTTTGATTGAACGAAGGAGAAAGAAAAGGGGGACAGATCGGCCAAGGGAGCGAGACTTTAACTGAAAGTTCACCCGGGAATGCCGTTACCGAGATCCCTTTTCTAATCTACTCGGTTCCCTTCATCCCTTTCATTCCTGAATATATTTATCGGGAAGCTCGGAGGCCGCGAGGTGGCGCTCTACAACCAGGTTTGGAGTTCGTCTGAGCGGCGGTCCTGTTCCATCCGGGTAAGACGCCTCCCCCGAACCCCCTCACATATCTAATCCCCGACCGTTTGGGCATTCCTGGGGAAAAAAAGAAGGAGGCTTGGAAGCCCAGTTAATAAGGCATTGCCGCCTAGGCAACTCTTGTGTCCTGAGGTTTTAAAGGGACAGACCTCCTGCCCTTCTCACCACTTGCCAGCTGTTGGCACTGCCCGGACCAGAAAGGAACTTCCAAGGCAGGGAACGGGCGCGCTGCTCCCTGCTCCCGCCCCTCCAGGAGTTGATAGCCCTCTTCCGCGGCTGCTGCTAACCCTTTACCTGGACGAAGGGGAGGGACCTGAGCAGAAGAGAAGCGGATTTCTTTTTACTCATTTTTTTTTTCCCCTCAAGGGGATGAAAGGAAAGCGGGACCTTTCTTTGAAAAGGAACTGGAATCCGAAGAGCGTCCTGCTTCGTTCCGGATGAAGTTTAGCCTGCCACCTGCGGGAGGTAATGGTTGGCTTTTCCAAAGACATCCTGGGGAAACTGAGCAGAGGAATGAATCCCCAACGTGGGGAAAGGACGGGTGCGCGCGTTTGGCTAGCTGGGTGCTGGGCAGGAGGGCAGCGCTGTGTGCGTCTCTCTCTCTCTCTGAGTTGTGTGTATGTGAGAGGGGGGGGGGTTGCTTGAGTTTACCCAGTGTGAGAAACAGTGACGGCTGCGAATGTGTCTGCAAGAGGGTGGGAAAAAGAAGGGGGGCATTATTGTCAATGGGCGGGTGGGGGGGGGGATTGAGGCCAATCTTGTTTCTTTATTCCCTCAATTTAATCTCGCCTCATTTTTCCCCCCAAGCAATACAACTTCGAGGACAGCAGCTTTGGCAAAGCCGGCGCTCCTCCGCTATGGACTTTCCAGGTAACCGGCGCTTCCATCCATCCATCCTTCCGCTCGCTTGCTTGCTCTTTTGACCACTTGGAAAATCCGGCGGGTTTCCTTACAAACTGAGAATGGGAGTGGAGGGGAGTGTAGGGGGGGGGAAAGCAAGACTTCCTAGCAATGTGTCTTTTTGATAAAACTGTTGGAAGAAGAGCCGGAGGGGTGTGTGTGTGTGTGTGTGTGTGTGTGTGAGACGGCAAGAGTCGAGACGCCGAGGTGTAACTTTTCAGAAGCAGCCAGTCCAAACTTCTCAGGTGGGGCTAACCTGGTTCTGTACTATTCCCGCCTTGAGTTTATCGGGCGGATTTGCCGCAACCGGCCGTGGAGACGTCAGTGCCGGCGGGGAGTAAAAGCTGAGCGGGGTTCCTTGGAAAGGAAATTCGAGCAGGAAAGGCGGCTTGGATGCGCCGAATCAAGGTGAAGGGGAGGGAAAAAAAAAATCTAACGGACTTCGCAGGCAGGGGACTTGATCTCGGCAAGAGGAGACAGAGTGGCAGGCAGACGCGGAAGTTTTAACTAACGTATCCAGTTCGGTTGTTCAAAGCCTGATGGAACCAAGTAACTCTTCACGGCGCGTGGCGCAGGAATGTCTCCTTTTTTCCTCAGGGTTTATGAGAAATGTGAGAAATAGGGAACTAGTGTCTGAAAGAGAATTGCCGACAGTTGTTTTTATGGGTATGGGAGTGGCAGGCCGGCTTTTCCCACCTTTTGGGGTTTTAGGGTTTTTTTTTTTTTTAGGATCGAGGCGCAGCTTAGTCTGACATATGTGTCCCTCGTGTTTTCGGCGAGGTTTCGTCCCAGTCCCACCAAGTCTAAATCAACCCTGGGGGTTCAAGCTATGCTTAGCACTTGTTCCATTTTGCAGGTTCAGGGTGTAGCGTTGAGGCTTCTATCGCAGAGAGAAATAAATTGTCTTTTTGCTCACCGTCGCGGCGTGAACGAAGAGTGAAGGGAGCGAAAAGCTGCAGGGCAAGCCTCATTCCCCGCGCGCTCGTTTTCCCCGCGCGCTCGTTTTCCCTCCGATAAAATATTTTTATGCTGACACCCGCATGCTGACACCCGCATATATATATATATATTTTAAAAAAATATTTATTTCTGCCCACTGTGGGAACTGAGGTACTGGACTAGATGGACGGTTGGTTTAGTCAAACGCAGCACGACTAGGGACCCCTAAAACCCCAGCCTTTCGTCTGGTTCCCCTTTGTTCCTGAGGAAAGAGCTTCCTTATAAAAGACGCCGTGCCTTTGCTTTGCTTCCTCGCACCACATGGGGAAAGCTCTAAGACTCTGGCCCGTGAGGAAGAGGGCTGAGGGGGGGGGGGAAGAGAAGCGGGCTGGGGGGGGGTCGCGTGGCTCCACGCTCCGCTTAGTTCTGACCGCCCTTTCTTCGCTCTCTTCCCTCCTGCAGGCTGCAACTGCTGCGCGCCTCCCACCTTCCTGTGAAGTCTCCAGTTTGCCCCGTCCGTCGCTGAGGGAGGAAGCGCTGCGAGGGGCTCGGGCGGGGCCAAGGCAAGCAGAGCCACGGCTTACGCGCCCGCCGGGAAAGTGAAGGCAGCTCTCGTTCGCTGCCGCCCCGCCGCCCCCTTTGGACTCCGCGGTTGGTGACGGGCCCCCGCAACGCGATGCCCGGGCGGCGGTTGTGGTGGCGGCGGCGGCGGGGGGCGCTGGCGGAACCCGCTGGCAGTTACTCCTGCATGGCGGCCGTGCTGGCTTTTTTGCTCTTCCTGCTGCCCACCAGTTGCCCGGCGGTGGGCGCCCAGAATGACACCGAGCCCATCGTGCTGGAGGGCAAGTGTTTGGTGGTATGCGACTCTAGCCCGTCCGCCGACGGCGCCATTACTTCATCGCTGGGCATCTCCGTGCGCTCTGGCAGCGCCAAGGTGGCCTTCTCGGCCACGCGCAGCACCAATCACGAGCCGTCTGAGATGAGCAACCGCACCATGACCATCTACTTCGACCAGGTCAGGTGGCGCGCCAGTCTCCTTTCTCTCCCCTCCCCAACCTGGCTCTTGGTTAAGCCCCGCCCAGAATCAGTAACAAAGTCAAAGCCCCGCCCAGCTGCCCTCCTTACCTCCCTCCCCCTTTAACTCAGTAAGCCTTCATCCCATCCAGCCGCCAACCGTTTTGCTCCTGCTCCCCCTTGTGTTGAGAAGGATGGGTCACACATTTCTGGTCCTTAGCTCCATCTTCATTCTCCTCCTGGCTGAGTCCTTCCCCTTAGCATCTGTGACCACTATTAATTCCCCAGTTCTGATTCCATCTCTATCCAAGCGTCCCATATTATCTGCACCAGCTACCTATGGTCTTACTTTGTATTCTCTGCCCACATTCCAATTAAACCCTCCTCCATGTGTGTCCTCTCTGCTAACGTATTCTTATTTCACCGGAGTTCTTTGTCAGGTTCAAGCTTGCTTCAGGAATCTTAAGAACATCCACTACAATAATTCACAGCCAGCCTCTTGGCAGCACTTGTTTCTCATCAACTTCTTGGATGAGAATCGTGATTTTATGAATTTCCTTTTAGTGTCCACCAATAAATACCGCCAAGGACACCTTTCTCATTTTGTTGGAACAAGCTTGACTTCAGTGCATGTGTCCTTTTCTAAGACATAGCTACATCTCATTTCTCCAAATTGGTGACTCCGAGACATCCTTCTATAAACTGGACAGGGAGGACAGTCTAGAAATCTACACAACATGCCAAGTGGGGACAAGCTGAAAAATTTAATAAGGAAATCTTTAAAGAACCGATTGGGTTCTTGTCAGTCCAGAAATATAAAAAGGATACACTGGGATTTTTAAATTAACTATTTATTAAATCTTTGTATGGATACATATGTACACCTCAGGCTAATTGCTTAAGTAGATTAAAATAATTTTATATGCATTGTGTGTACTATTGTTGCATTTTATCTAACTCCTCAACGAAAAATAGCTTCTTCAAACCCATAGGAATTTTATGTTAAATATATTTTGTTGTAATATAAAAAAAGAAAATAAAAAAATATGGCAGCATAAATGGCAGAGTTTTAATATTAGCAGAATTATTCTGAGTCTTCTGTGATACACAAAGGCAAATAAATATGTCATTCTAGAAATGCTTTATGTCTACCATTTTGTCATATTCATATCTTCAACTCATGAAACATCTTAAAACAAAATATTAAATTATAGTTTCATAATTGTTGCTTTTGTATGTACACATAAATTGTAAAAATTGCTAGTTTATGTTTAGAAGATCAAGCTGGAATCCTGTATCTAAGAAAATAAAGTCCAGTTTATCCAGTCACACAACAGAAATTTTTTACATGTGTGCCCAGAAGGACATTAATTCCTTAGGAGTTAATTCTATTTAAAAGGGCACAGAACTGCAGATCTCTGAGAAGTAAAAAAAAAAAGAAGTTTTGATTTCTGTTTGTTTTGTAACATGAAACCTGTTTTAAAACAGGTGAAGATAAGCTTGGAAATTCAGAACCAGACAAAACAAATGAACAGTGACTGTATTAGGATCCTCCCATTTGGAAGCCTACCTATTCAAAAAATAAGATCCCAGAAAAAGTGTTAGCAAATAGTTATGTATGAATATGGATTATAGAGAAGATTAAAGATCTGATTCTGCCAATAAATAACTAATTGTATGAAGAACTTTAAACATTTGTTCTGGAATGTTCATTAGATTCTCAAGAGTCTGTAGCTTTCTTTCTCATATTTTTATGTAATCTGCATTGTCTGGATTTAAGAAACCAGACTGCACTGTGCATTATATTGAGATGAAGACCTTCCTTACCTTAAAAAACTGTTCACTCTTTCTGCTTTTCTGATACTGATGATGCTTTGAAACATTTATAACTTGGCATCAGGTATCATTTTACATTATTATAATTGGCAATTGGCATTTTCTTTACCACTAAATCCATGTTCAAAGTCTCTGTGGGTTAAAATAGATACATCCTCCTTATTTGTTCAAGCTTCATTGAATAAGTTTTGTTTTAGGATGGGTGTGGGAGCAGAAAAAAAGAATAAAGAATGCAGATTAAGAACGCTACTTACCTTAATACCTTAATAACTCCCTTCTCCACATTTCATCCCATGCAACATGACTAAGCCTGTTTCATTTCACATTAACGCTGCAAGCCCCAAGAGACACAATTAGTTGTGTGAAAATGTAAAATCTAGTGGCTTGTTCAATGGAATATTTTCCTTCTTTGTGTATGTCTCAGCAATGATTTGATCTGTTTTTCCCTTCACTGTACAGACATAGGCTGCCATCATATGCTTTTCATGCTCTCAAAGAAGCTTTGGGTGCACCACTGGGTAAATCAATCAGCTGTCTGAACCGATCCTTTTACAACACCTTAGGAACTGGCTCCTTTCCCCTGCAGTCCATTTTAATTGTACAGCAAATGCCAGTGGTTTTGCACTGCTGGGAGAGCAGGGGGGGTGGGTTGTCTGAGAAATGTCTTTCCTCTCCCCTCACTCTCTATTTAATGAAGGAACAACCTGATTTCTTTCCTTTTATCCTCCAGGTATTAGTTAATATTGGGAACCATTTTGACCTCGCTTCCAGTATATTTGTAGCACCAAGAAAAGGAATCTATAGCTTCAGTTTCCATGTTGTGAAAGTATATAACCGACAAACTATCCAGGTATGTGCCAACATTAGGAGTTCCTTCTTAGAGCAGTTATTTCATTTCACAAAACCATTCATACAAAAGGCTCGTCAAATAAGGCAATGAGGAATGGACCCATGCACTAAATGATTTATTAGTCTACTGTTTAGCAGTGTTATGAAATGGGCTTATTTGCCTTTGTAAGGGGTATGATTTTTCATCCCTGGTCAGTCTCCTTTCACTGAACTAACTGAGCGTGGACAGGCTGGGAAGGAATTTGTAGATCACCTGGGAAGGAATTTGTAGATCATCTGAAACCTTTTCAGTATCATCCTGTATGAGAGAGATATGTTCTATCCTACTTGTCACCCACTCATTATTTTGGGTTTCCTTCATGTGGAGAAACTGACTTCCCTTTGGTTATAATGTACTATGTGAATGCGTGTTTGTATGATATATTGGGAGTATAACTAAACTTTTAGATAAATGTCACGAGACCACTTAGCTCATTTTTTTTTTTTTTGTACTGCAGGTCAGTTTAATGCAAAATGGCTATCCTGTGATTTCTGCTTTTGCTGGAGATCAAGACGTTACCAGGGAAGCAGCCAGCAATGGAGTCCTGCTTCTTATGGAAAGAGAAGACAAAGTCCATCTCAAGCTGGAGAGAGGAAATCTCATGGGTGGATGGAAATATTCAACCTTTTCAGGGTTCTTAGTCTTTCCATTATAAAGAAAAAACAAGGTGAATCCTAACCTGCAAGCTGGAACAGGAATTCAGTCCTCAAATGACAACAACAAATCCCAAGAAGCTTCTGCATCCTCCTAGAACTGGGCTAGACCTGCCAATAATTCCAAACACCCCCATCAGACTGCCATCACCGAAGAAGGGGAAAACTTCTTGATGCCACTTTTTGTGTTAACTCTTGACAGTTCCTTGAGAAATCTGCAGATCTGATTAGTTTTAGATAACAGTCATCCTTAAGAAAAAAAGAAGTTACCAACCTGAGCAATTTGTACCTGTGATTGTAAAGTCAATTTTGGATTTTATTGTTGGGATTTCATTTTCTTTTTTCCCCTTTCTTCCTCTTCTTGTTGCGAAGGGATACATTAATTGGGACCACAGAAGTGTTTGTAATGGACTTATTCCAAAGCCAGAAGACCCTGATCTCTGATGATATGTTCCTATATGTTTTCTCTTTTTTGTGTTTGCATAGCCTTAAAAAAAAAAAGAACAAACGAAGCACCAAGATAAAAATAAGAATTTTTCAATTATTCAAACTTCAAACCTGTATCTTCTGGGGAGGTTAATTTTTGGACACTACTGTGTCAAGAAGTGCTTTATTCAGTGAAGCAAATTTTGCACGATTGGAACCTATTTTATTTTGTGTTACTCGTGTTTTCCATCATCTTTCTTTCCATTTGCTGACTGTTCTTGTGCTAAAGAAGAAAGGCGATTTGACCCATATGATAAAGCAAGCACATATATATTCTGAGGCTTGCAGTGAAACTAACCAATGAATGATGTTGCTTGTGTTATCCAGCTGATTTAATAGAAGCATTTGTTGGCACAGTGGAAGACAATACAGCTTGAGTTGGAAAGGCAGCGACTGATATTTCTTACATTACCTGAATCAGAAGGTTGTGAATATCTCAAGCAAACATGCTGTAAAATATAATATCATTTCTTTGCAACACTGGGCATCTTTTGCTGCTTTCCTGATATTTATTTGATGGATTAATTTATTTATGTTTATATATGCTGTGATTTGGCCTCTCTGAGTGTTCCCACAAGTTATCTTCCCTCCAGGTTAAGTAAAAACAGATTCACACAAAATTTGCTAGGACCAGACCGTTTGTGTGGCAGAATCAAGGACACTGAAATCCTTTGAAAAGTTACAAAGTTTATGTGGTTCAACTATAAATATACCATAATTTGTATATCTTTTTCTTTGATTTTTGTTGAAGTTTCCCCAATTAACTTCCAAAGACTTTTGAGTAGTCTTAATCCAATACTGTATACAAAAAAGGTTACTGATTTCAAATAATAAAAAGAAGAAACCTCAGGTTGAGTTAAAATTCACCTTCTATGTGTCAATGTAACCAAAATGCTGATGAACTTTAGATTCAGAATAAATGGGTTTCATGTCCAACTTGGCTTCTTTTTACTTATATGTAAGTGTCAAAGGTAGCTGGGCAACACAGAGAAAATTGCATTTTGGTCTGAAAAAAAGAGAGAAAATAATGAGAATTTGGAGGAGGGGGGCTGTTTGCTTTTAATGACCGATCTGTTTTTAAAATTCATATTTCAAATATGTCTTTGAGGAGCTAGGTAGACTGGGATTTCATTTCATTTTTTCTTTTGATAGGTTCTTGCTTTCCTTCTCAAGATACTAAAATGGTGCAAATGTTTGCAGAACTCGAGAAAGAAATATACTGCATTGCATACAGACATATTTTTTATTCGAAATTTGTCATTGATGGGTTATTAGAATAATTATTAGCAGCATATCAGTGTACTTTGAAATATTTTTCTAAAAATAGAATTCTAAAAAAAGAGATAGTGTTTTTCTCTTTGCTTATGTTGACTCTGTTTCATACATTGTGGATTTTAAAAAATCAACCAAATACTGGTTTTGGCATCTGAGTTGTTTCTAACTTAAATTCTGTATAGATTTTTTTTAACAACTTCCAGCAATTTTAACACTATGTAGAAAATTCCCATCCATTTATTCTTAGACAAAGGGGTATAGGTTGTTTTTTTAAAAGAAAAATAATTCTTGCTGTACTGTAATCTATGAATATAGATTTTAGTGTTAATTGTGATATTATATAACTCTTAAACAATGGCAAATCTGGACAGATATTTCATTTTTTTACATTGCAAATATATTTCATTACAAATTTTATTACTTTATGGCATATTATTGAATGCTTCAGTTGAAGTATAAATAGCAGATGTGAAAAACCAGGTAGGTTGCTGGATTAGACTGCTTAGCACACCTGGTCATTGCCCTGATATAAGTCCAACATATGGAAGGCTGTAGATTTTCCATACCAATATACAGTTTGAAAAGATTTTAATATATTTGCATAATTTCCCTTACCTGTGTTACTGCATGAATTCATAAACACTGGTTGCAGAAAGAGGAAAGCCAGTTTTTTTTGTATATAAAACTGCATCAAATTATTTGCTATGCATTATCTTATTCTAGTGTTCTGATACAACACAAAAAAGAATTATGAGCTAATTTCAGGTTTAATAATATTTAATTTGATGTTTGTCAGATAGTATTTATACAACCATGATATCAAATTACATATGTGTTTCTAAGATATGAAAGAGAAAAGAGGAAATGCAAAAAAGAAAAAAGGAAAAGAAAGGAAAAGGAAAAAAGAGAATGGAAAGGAAAGGGTGTAAACCTATGCAAAATATGTACATTTAAAAGGGGCAGTAGAGAATTACTAATGTTTCAGTTCTGGTTTGGTAATGACAGTAATTAATTGATACTCAAAATTCAATTATAAATTTGGATGAGGACAGTTTAAATAGGATTTGTGATGCTGTAGTTTCTGCAATAATACATTTGGTTACAGCTGCTATTGGATTGACTTCTAGCCACAAAATACTGCAAGGTTTTAGGTGAGTCAGAATTTTAAAAATTAGACCAAAATAATTTAAATACTGAGAAGGAAAATGTTGCTTTTAGAGCATTTTTAAAAACCTTATTGGTGATTTTCAGAGTTCTAAATTGTAATATAATAAAATGGATTATTGCAACATAATATTTTGCATTAACATCATATTCAATGAATAATGCAGGAATTTAACTCAGCAATCTATCTGCGAAAAGCCTGAAGCTGGATGTGGATGATGGGAATAATAATTCAATATATGTAGAATCAAAAATACTTATGGACTAGAGTAAAAAGCTTAATTACTGGACTAAATGTATACATGCATTATATCCAGAAAAACTGAATTGGAATTTGAGAAGTTTTGAGAATGATCACAGAGACTTTTTTAAAAAAGAAAATAACTACTTTTTTCTGTCTTTTTAAAGTTCATTTTATATGCCAAAGCACTTAATACAGAATATAACCATTGGTCCCAATCCACCAATATCTTGAAACTATCTAGATTAGAGACCTCTAGTTCCATGTTATGCACAATTTGGCCACCTTACTTAATTCCTGTTATTTTTTAAAACAAAATTAAATATAAGAGATTAAGGTACCATAAAATAGCATATGGTATTGTAAAAACATATATAACTAACAAAAGGAAATATTGAAAATTCAGAGGGATCTGTGGGTAACAAACCTTACTGTGGGATCTTAAGAATGATTACATAGTAACTAGGCTGCTGAATATAATGGGACTTCTAAGCAACTAACTTAGACTTCTAACCTGAGGCAATTGTGTCCTTGTGTTTGCTCTGCCTGTAGCCGTTATAAAAGTAGATAGTGTGTATATGGCGGTGTTACTACATTATGAATTTTCTTGCTTCTGTGGCAATTTCTAAACTGATGCATGCGAGATTAGTAATCTGAAGGAAATAATTACTGTATTCTGTATTAATAAATATTGCAGGGAGGAAAAAAAACCCACGTACAGGCGATCCACTAGGCTCTCATTATTTCTAAACAAGATATTAATATTAAATTTCTCACTCTTCAGAGAGAAGAATTTAACATTTGTCATGCAGATTTGTCTAGCTTTAAAGATTTTCTATTAGGTAAAAAAACAAAGGAAAGCAAGAAAGAAAGAAAAATAACTTGTGGCTAAAAACTGCCCTCTTAATTTCCTAAATTTTCTTCTTCTGCAAAAGAGGCTTTTGTCTTTGCACTTTGTTCTTAGAATGGCTCCTAATTTCTTTTCTTTTGTTTCGTTTATTGCTGTGTGGTGATGATAATGTTTTATCCCTCCCGCCACTCCATTTTTCTTACATATAACTCCATTTTTCAGCTTTCTTGCTGCTCTGGTTTTCTCATCTGAAAAAGCTCCAAAGGAAAACCAGTCTTTTCTTTCAGGCTTTGGTTGAAGCTCAAGATGATAGGGAGGCTGCAGCTTATGAAGCAATGGAGGCTATGAAATACAGGGCAACGCTCCCTTCAATGGAATCAAGCTAAATGTATGAAACTGTACAATACATAATATATATATATCAGATTCCTTTTCAACATAGTGTTAATATTTTTTTTTAAACCTAAAAACCCATTGTATTCATATTTGGGTTCTCAGAGAGGCACAGTGTTTTGATTCTGTTGTTTATGGTATTGGAAGCTGACCAGAGTCGCTTGATAGTGAGATGAGTGGGATACAAATTTAATAAATAAATAACCCAATAAAGTTAGTGGTATGTAAGTGCTTGCTTAAAGAATATTGATCCATGGAACATAGAAGGTGAGCCTAAGGATTAAACAACATCTAAAATTTATTTATTTATTAATCAAATTTTTATACTGCTCATCTTATCTGCCTGTGACATTTTGTTCCATGTATCTGGAAAACACTAGGTTGGAAAAAGGTGACAGGATAACACAAAACATAATCTAATTTACTCAACTAGTGGCTGTTCACTGCAGCATTTATTTTGGTCTTTATTTACAAGTAAAACCCATGAAACAAATCATGAAACTTAATTTACACGATAGCCTAATCTGGATCAAGACTGTTGTGCTTGAGCACTTAATCCTCTACCATACTTGTTTTTAAAAATAAAATGCTTC